AACCTCAACTCAGCTGACTAATACTAAGCTTTTTAGGCCAGAGATGTCATCTCAGCCTGGCTGTTTAATTACAGCTGGCACTCTGGAAGCTTGTCTCGTGTTCATGTAGGGATCATGCAAACTATAGACTCTCTTAGAAGGTCAAGCTGAAACACACAAACAAAAAAACCCTCTTAGATCAGCAAGCGTATTGCCTACTAGTGAGATACCTTGTATTCAAAACTGATAAATGGTCAACTCTGTCATCCAAAGATAAACTGTGCCCATTATGAGTTATCTATAGGAAACATTTTACTGTCTTCTTGCTTCCCCTTTTCCTGCTATGACCTGATTTCCAGGCCACCTTTCCATTCCCAATGGTATGGTCTCAGGAAAGTACATTCATTTTTAATACCAGGCTTAAAAGAAAAGGAGGCTGGGTACAGTGGCTCACACCTAGAATCTCGACATTTTGGAAAGCTGAGCTGGGTGGATCCCTTAAGGTCAGGAGTTCCAAAACAGCCTGGTTAACATGGTGAAACCCCATCTCTACTACAAATACAAAAATTAGCCAGGCGTGGTGGCACGCACCCATAACCCCAGCTACTTAGGAGGCTTAGGCAGGAGAATTGCTTAAACCTGGGGAAGCAGAAGTTGCAATGAGTCAACATTGTGCCACCACATTCCAGCCTGGGCAACAGAGCAAGACCCCATCTCAAAAAAATAAGTAAAATAAAGGAGGGAATGAAAAAAAATCTGAGTAATGAATTAGTTATTGAGACCAGTTTCAGTCTAGAACCATGCTAGGCACTCTATGGGGAGTTGAACAAAATGTACAGCATTGTTCTCCCAGACCAAAAGGGAGGCCAGACGAGGTGGCTCACACCTGTAATCCCAGCACTTTGGGAGGCAAAAGCAGGAGGATCGTTTGAGCACAGGAGTTCATGACCAGCCTGGGCAACATAGTGAGACCCTATATCTACAAAAAATGTAAAAATTAAAAATTTCCAGGCACAGTGGCTCATGCCTGTAGTCCCAGGCACTCAGGAGGGTGAGGCAGAGGATCTTTTGAGCCCAGGAGTTTGAGGCTGCAGTGAGTTGTGATTGTATCACTCCACTCCAGCCTGGCCAACAGAATAAGACTCTGTCTCAAGGAAAAAAAAAAAGAAAAAGAAAAAGAAAAGCTCAGAGACTAATAAAGTAACTTACATAAAATAGTCGGGCACAGTGACTCACACCTGTAATCCCAGCCCTTTGGGAGGCCAAGGCCAATGGATTACTTGAGGTCAGGAGTTCGAGACCAGCCTGGCTAACATGGCGAAACCCTGTCTCTACTATAAACAAAAATTAGCCGGGTGTAGTGACGGACGCTTGTAGTCCCAGCCACCAGGGAGGCTGAGGCAGGAGAATCACATGAACCCGCAAGGTGGAGTTTGCGGTGAGCCGAGATTATGCCACCATACTCCAGTCTGGGCAATAGAGCGAGACTTCATCTCAAAAAAAAAATAAAGTAACTTACACAAAATAATCAGTGCAGCAACATAAATTGTGTGTGTCTGCATGTGTGTGTGTGTGTGTGTGTGTGTGTGTGTGCGCACACACAGCCAACAGCCAGGTACACACTATATATGACTTCAGAGAAGAGAAATCAGAAAAGGATTCAAATAAGAAGGATAGGGCTTATGGACAATCTTGAGATGGGTGGGATTTGATTAAGCAAAGGATGAGGAGAGTATAATAAGAACGACAAAGGGCATGGGAAATACTACGGATATTTTGGATGATATGTGATGTCAGATTATCTGGGCTATAATCAAGATCTGCTTGTTCTTACAAGACTTTATGGTTAAATTTGGTTACTGGAATAGTTTGCTTAAATTTTTTAAATTCTGCTACATTTTCCAAAATTATCATCTTCTTGGAAACCTGTGGAAGTTCAGAGCCTTGCTGATTCAGCTGTGGGATCAGACTCAGGGCTATAGTGTGGGATCAGACTCAGGGCTATAGTGTATGCGAGAATGCTTGAACAGACGATCTGCCTTTCAGGTGGGTCTCCTAACCAATGACTATATTAAAGGTCCAGCTGCTTTTGATTGGGTTTCATAGTTAATGAAATACTATAGGTTTCAGGATGGCTACCATGGGCACGCTGGTGTCCATGGAGACTTTTACACTCCTACGATGTTGCTAAACCCTAATTAATATTAAGAGTCTTTACTGCGCCTTTTAAGGAATAATTTCTCAAGTTTTTGTAACTAGAAATTTCAAAACTAATAATCTCTGTTCTTCCAAAGAATTTGTTCTTCCAGAGGATCTGCATATAGGTCTGTAATGAGAAGTTAGACTATTTACCTTAATTGTGGGGAATAGGGGTAATGGGTTGGGGTTGCAATTGAAGGTCACACAATAACAAGTTGTTTTCTCTCCTCGTGGAAGATAGACTCAAAAGAAATGGCAAAACTCACCTAAGTGAGCATTTATTAATAGTTTAAGTTCAAGAAATAATTTACTCTGGGCCGGGCGTGGTGGCTCACGCCTGTAATCCAAGCACTTTGGAGGCCAAGGCAAGCAGATCACCTTAGGTCGGGAGTTCAAGACCAGCCTGACCAACATAGTGAAACCCTGTCTTCAAAATAAAAATAAAAATAAATAAATAATTTACTAATAATACATCACTAAAAATGTAAATAGTTTAAAGAAAAAGAAAACAGCGTTACCTGCTGGTTATCATATACAGGATACATTTCCTTCACAGAGATTGTGCCAATGTGGTCTGAGCAAGATACAGGATGCATTAGAGGAAGCTTGTCCAACCCATGTCCCACAGGCTGCGGGCAGCCCCAAACAGCTCTGAATGTGGCCCAACACAAATTTGTAAACTTTTTTTTTTTTTTACTTTTTTTTTTCCCTTATTTATCACCTATTCAGAGAATATGTAAATTTTCTTAAAACAGTTTTTTCTCACTGTAAGATGTGGCCTACAAAGAAAAAAACATGAGAGTTGGTGGCAGTATTTATTTTATTTTAAAAAGAAAATTAATGGTTTTTTTTGTTTGGCTTTTGTTTTTTTGAGATTTTTAAAAAGCTCATCAGCTATCCCTACTGTTAGTGTATTTTATGTATGGCTCAAGACAATTATTCTTTTTTCAGTGTCTCCTGGGGAAGCCAAGAGTTTGGACACCCTTGCATTAGTTTTTTAATTCTAGGGTGTGTGGGTACCTGGATTGAGGAGGGTGGCAGAACTTGAAATTGACATCTCTGAGCTCCCATCTTAAATCATTGCCAGCCCGAGAATCTCCTACTCATAGCGTGGTAATATATTACTATTTAGAAGTATCTGTACTCAGAATCAGGGCAAAGGGGAGAATGACCTCGTGGCTTAATTTTAAGTGGCAAAAGCTTATGTGGAAGTAACTGCTAGGTCCTATTCTTGAACCAATAGTAGAGAGCATTAAATTATTGAGTACATGCACAGACAGCTCCTTCTTAATGTCTTGGCGGCATAGGCTTTAGGCTCTGCTTCTGGGGATGTAAAAGGAGATGTGAGTTAGTCAATATAAGTGCTTTTGACATGAAGGGAGGACTTTCCTTAGTAGACGTTGGTTCCCCAGACAATGGCAGTGGAGAGCTTCCTGGAAGCAAGAAGTGCAGGAACAGCCAGGAGCTGACTTCTCTAGGAGCAGTTGTCTGAGAGCAGAGAAAAATGATGGGAAGTCAGGGGTAGCTCCTGCATTGTGGATTATGGCCGTGCTGCCTTTTTTGTTTGTTTGTTT